AACTGATAGTAAGACCATATTGCTAAAGTTGACATGCACATATCTTATTGAATACGAAGAATTGAGCTGGTACCTAATTAATGTCTCATAAGAGCAAACATCCTCTCACCTCTAAACCCTTTTTCCACCATGGTGACCTGCCTACATGATACTCTGGTGCAAAAGAGGTGCAAAATTTTGGAAGTAAGAAACTATTATCTGATCGGTTTTAAGGTCCACTTTGTGGGATGGCTCTCATGCCTGAAACTCTTTGGATGACCAAGAACCTGGGAATAGATAGGCCATAGACCCATGGGAAAATCAGATACTATTGTTTTGCTAGTGAAATGTAGCAATATAATGGCTCTTCATTCCATACGTTATATCCACAGATCAGTGTCTTTCTCAGCCATCATCATAGAAGCTTCCTCCTGCAGTCAATGGAAACAAACACAGAGGCCCACAACTGGGCAATGTACAGGGGTCGAGAGATCTTGAATCACCCAGTTCTAAATGGGATGATTGCATCAAACCCCTCTTCTCATGGCTCAGGGAAATTCGTGTAAAAGAAGGAAGAAAGATTGTAAGAGTCAGTGAGGATGGAAGACACCAAGGAAGCAATGCCTTCTAGACACAACAGGGCTGTTATGAATATATGCACATGAATTCCCAGAGACTGTGGCTGCTTGCACAGGCCCTACATAAATCTGTACTTGCTTCCAAGCACTGAGTAGGGAAAGTGGACATGAAATCCCATTCACAACCTAGACCAATTGATCACTCACAAAAAAATACTCATTTTGTTCAATGGAGTCTTATTGAGTATACAAACCACACTTAAGAGCAGTCCCCATTTCTAGCAGTAGACAGCTAACTCAAATTCTAATATTTATTGTAGATTTTTTTTGCCTCATAATGTTTTGTCTTGCTTTTTTAAAACCTTATTTGTCTTTTGATTTATAAATTATGGCTAATTTTTGGGTGTTATATATGTGCTTGGGTATATGATTCTTATACTTTTTCTTTGGTTTTCTTTTTAAAACTTTCCTGTTTGTGTTCTAAAGAAATGGAGAAAAAACATGGTGTTGAATATATGAGGAGGATCCAAAGGGGATGGAGAAGAAATCATAATAAGAATATATTGTATGAAAGACCCTATTTTCAATAAAAGAATAACAACAACATGAAAAGTTACATTTTTAGCTGCTTTAAGTGTGAATTTTAGAATCACACTATCAATTTACACACAATAATTCATGTTCCAATTATGAAGTTAATTTAATTGACTAATGAAATCAGTATTTGAAGAGATGAAATCTTGACAAATTTTAAACCTAGGAAAATGGTATATCAAAATATGTCTTAAGTATTTTATGTCTTTAATTTGTATTTTACAGTTTTGAAAATATTGATTTTTACACACACAGTACTAGATAATGGAACACCAGCATTCAGCACTGTGTTTCCTCCCTGTGGATGCAATGTGACCATTGCCTGATCTTCCTGCTGTCATGCCTTTATGCCTTGGTGAACCTATACCCTCTAATCATAAGCTAAAGCAAACTCCTTGACAGTTTCAGATGTGTATTTAGTTCATTTAACAGATTTCCACATCTGATTCATCCTTAATAAAGACTTAAGAGTTTCAGCTCCCTCTACTCAGTAGCAGTCTGACTGTGTTAAATGGAAAATGCCAGAGATTAACAAATCTCAATATTAAAGATAGGTTGCCCTATACAGTAAGATGAAAACTGAATACACTCAGTTTCCATCCAGTAAGAGATCTGAATAATCCCTTTATCTAGCATTTCCATATTGTATCCGCTGCCCTCCACGTGAGGGGCTCTTCAGCCATCTTTCTTACCGATTCAGCTCTCATGCTGCGATGCCTTTTATAGGGGTTTGGGTAAATCTTTCAGTGAGGTTTATAAAGCAGCCTAAAGCTAAATCACATTGCCTGTGTCATCCAGCTTCCTCACTGTTACATAGGCACTGTAATAGTTGTCATAACCAAAAGGAGAAGGTGAGTGTAATCTGTACCACCATGGAATACTTTTGAGAGAGAAATATAGAACCATCACACAGATTTTTATTGTAACTAAATTCTTGTTATAGTTACTGTTAGCCTTTTTTGTGCTTAATATAGCCTTTTTTTGAAACTTTACCACACAAAAACATTTGTAGAAGAAAACCTCACAACATAGAATTTCTGTACTCCATTGGTTTTCAGACATCTTTTGAGGCATTGGAATGTATTTAGTCCCCTGTTGGATGAAGAAGCTGACGTACTATTAAAATTCAATCATAAACTATTTAGTGATTGGGCAATATTTTGATATGTACTTGAAGATTTGTATCCTGTCCTGTGCAATTGATAGTTTTACAACTCTTTCCAGCTTCTCTGGAATTCTTTATAAACTACTATGTTGTTTAGGAATAGCTTAATCACTTACTCCCCAATATATAAACAGTTTAGTTCTTTTAGTTTTTTTCTTGTTCTTTGTTACATCATGATAAAAGTGTTAAGTTTCCACGTCTTAAGTATACTTTGAACTTGATACAGAAAAAAATGCAACTATCAAAATAGTAAATGTATTGTTTCGAGGGAAATTTATGATAGAACACAAACATTGGAAAAGAAGAAAGATCTAAAGTTAATTGTTTTAAAAATTCAAAGGAAGCAGAGAACAAGAAATCACACACGCACACAAATCACACACACAATACACAAATACACACACAAACTCACAGTTAATTGAAATTGAAAACAAAATGTCAAAAAGAGTAAATGAAGTCAACAGCTGGTCTCTTTCAGTGAGTGATTTTTATAAAAGTCATTAGCCAAGCTAAAAAATGAAGAAAGGGAGGCATAAGTCACAAAGATGAGAAATGAAAAGGGGTATGCTTTATGTTCCAATAAAATTTAGAGAGTAACAAAAGCACAACTCCATCCCCACACATTGATAGATAGTCTCGATCAAAGCAGCAAGTTTCTTTAAACACAAAGCATTTACAATTACTTCAGTGGTTTTCACATAGTACACCCTTGGCTGACTCAAAAATCTAAAATGGAGTTACATATAAATAATGAACATTCCCTGAACAGGAAAGGGTAATTATGTATCTGACTTCTCTTCATTTCCACCTTGCCCTTAAGTGTATTCAGGAGTAATCAGTGACCATCAAGAGCCTCCATCTCAGGGATTTGGTCCACTCTCTCCATACCTCTTCAACATAGTGCTTGAAGTTCTAGCAATAGCAATAAGACAACATAAAGAGATCAAGGGGATTCGTATTGGAAAGGAAGAAGTTAAGCTTTTGTTATTTGCAGATGATATGATAGTATACATAACCGACCCCAAAAACTCTACCAAAGAACTCCTACAGCTGATAAACCCCTTTAGTAATGTGGCAGGATACAAGATCAACTCCAAAAAATCAGTTGCCTTCCTATACACTAAGGATAAGGAAGCAGAGAGGGAAATCAGAGAAGCATCACCTTTCACGATGGCCACAAATAGCATAAAATATCTTGGGGTAACTCTGACCAAGGAAGTGAAAGATCTATTTGACAAGAACTTTAAGTCTTTGAAGAAAGAAATTGAAGAGGACACCAGAAAATGGAAGGATCTCCCTTGCTCTTGGATTGGGAGGATCAACATAGTAAAAATGGCAATTCTACCAAAAGCAAGCTATAGATTCAATGAAGAATTGGTTCTTGATAGATACTGGGCAATTAACTGTATCATTAATGAGTGAATGCTGACATCCTCTGGGATGCTGAGTCCCTTGGGTCCAGAGATAGCTATAAGGGAACATGTAAGAATTGTTGATTACAGAAAATATTCTTTACTGTGCTTTTACAGAATAAATGTGACCAGATTCTGAAACAGGGCCCTTAATATACTTTTAGTCATTCTAGATAAATTGTCAGCAGGTACCTTACTCTCTTCCAACCTGTGAATCTTCCATTTTCAGTTTATGAAAGATTTGTGGCAGTTTTCAGGTATGATACCATTTTTTGTCATTTTCATACTTTGTAGCACTGCCATACTGTAGAAATACCTGTTCCACAATTGCACCGATAATCATTTTGGTAATGATGGGGTTTATTACAATTTCATAAAAGGCAAGTCTCTTTTTATTTCAAACTAACAGCAGCTCTTTAGATTAGGGGAAATGCTGGTGTCTTAAGTCTTAAGTTAGTACTTCTTTAGATTTGGAACATTAATACAGTTTATTGAGATCTTTGATTAAAACAAGTTGATCCTTACTGTAATCCATCAACTAGGGTATTGACATATGTCTGCTGAGGCAGGGGAGGGGTAATAAGGAAGATATCAGTGAAGGACAGAATACTCTAGATTATAGAGACAACTATGTCTGACTTTTAAATGGTAATTTAATACACCAAAGCAATGTGTTTTTCTAGGGGTTCATATAAGAATTATGATGATCGAGTTGAAGAAAACTCACAGAAATAAATTGTAGAATGGGGTGAACTACGATTGCCTAGAATAAGTAGGCTGCAGAAAAAAGATATGGCAATATATTTTGCATACCAGAAGCAATTAAGTGTCATTAGGCAGTCCTACCTAGTATATGCTAAAGCAACATTAAAAGAAGTTATTCATTGACTATAATGACTGAACACATTTAAATGTAGAAATACAATTACTTTGATGATAGTATGACTAATTACGTAGATCATGCAGCATGCCATGTGTGTCACAGCCCATGTCTGCTTTACATAGGGACATGGAGATGGATGTGTGGGAGTAGGTGTTGACAGAGTGAAGGGACTAGGCTGGGATGCTGGAACTTACCAAGGACATCTGAGGAAATAGATGGACTGAATATATGCCCAATGAATATAAACATCAAAGAATATGAAAAATAAAGTTCTTTTTTCTAATGTAAACAAAAGAGAAAACAGTCAAATTGATCTATGATCTCCTACACACTAAACCATTGGGAGTTTAAGAAAGTTTTATTTTTCTTAAAGCCATTGGAAGCATATCATGACTAGAAACAACGAAACTTTCTTCTCAGAGTTCCTACTACTGGGCCTGTCCATTCCCCCAGCGTACAAGCACCTGTTCTATTCACTGTTTCTGGCCATGTACCTCACCACCATCCTGGGGAACCTGCTAATCATTGTCCTTGTTCTCCTGGACTCCCAACTGCACACACCCATGTACTTGTTTCTCAGCAACTTGTCATTCTCTGACCTGTGCTTTTCCTCTGTCACAACGCCCAAATTGCTGCAGAACATGCAGAGTCAAATACCGTCCATCACCTTTGGAGGCTGCCTGACACAGCTGTACTTCTACATGTTTTTTGGAAACATGGAGATCTTTCTCCTTGTGGTCATGGCGTATGACCGCTATGTGGCCATCTGCTTCCCCCTTCATTACACCAGCATCATGAGCCCCAAGCTCTGTGTTTGTTTATTGCTGCCTCTGTGGATGCTGACCACATTGCATGCCATGATGCACACCATGCTCATGGCTAGATTGTCTTTTTGTGAGAACAATGTGATTCTCCACTTTTTCTGTGATCTATCTCCTCTTCTAAATCTGGCCTGCTCAGACACTTCTGTTAATGAGTTGATGATATTAATCACGGGAGGGTCCTTTATTATTGTACCATTCCTGCTCATTGTTACATCCTATTCAAGGATTGTCTCCTCCATATTCAAGATTTCATCTACCCAGGGTATCTACAAGATCTTCTCCACCTGTGGTTCCCATCTGTCTGTGGTGTCACTGTTCTATGGGACACTTTTTGGCCTCTACTTGTGTCCATCAACTAATTACTCTCCTGTGAAAGAAACCACCATGACCATGATGTACACTGTGGTGACTCCCATGTTAAATCCCTTTATCTACAGCCTGAGGAACAGAGATATGAAGATGGCCCTAAAAAGAGTTATCTGCAATAAGAAAATCTCTTTGTAATGGTAGCACTTGAGATTTTTTACCTAATTTTATGTAATAAATGTATTGACATTAATAGTTTGTCAGATGTTGACCCTCATCACAGGACCTACATGAAAGTTAAAAAGGTATAGTCAAAGTTGGAAAGATTATCTTTGAGAGCTGGCTACATCTGCCTCCTTACTTTGTATAAATATTACTAGAAATGTGTAGTGGAGGAGGTTCTGTCTAATATGTTCTCTGCTCTTTAAATTATTAATTTACTGGAACATTTTATCATTTACCCTGGGTTCTGCATTCACTGATACATCAGTCAAAATAGTGAAAGTAGTAGATTCAAGACACTCAATGACAATGAAATCTCCCTACTATCCAGGTTCCTCCTAATATTTCCCATAGGCTCTACCACATTGATTTTGAAATATTTTTTTCTCTTAACTTCCTCTTTTATTTTCATACCTGTGTTATTCTGTCTGTCTGTTCTTGATTCTGAAGCAACTTGGGATAACCATTTTGTACAACCACGTCAGTTATGTAATTTTCCCCTTAATTTGAAATAAACTAATAACCATGAACCTTTAAATTTACTTCTCAAAGATGAAAGAAAGAAGAAAGAAATCTAGAAGCTGGTAGAGTCTCATCTATGTTTCATATTTTACTTTGTCAATCTCTTGTTTATACTGGATGGATTTGTTTTCCCCATGTGACAGTCTCAAGGAGATACAGAAGGTTCTGTTCACAGACTGAAGTGTATGAGTCTCAGTGACTTCCCATCTCACACGGAGGAGCCAAGGTTGAGCATGTGTTAAATCACAGACCAATTCAACTCTTTTGTCTCATTTATTTATTTCAGAAAGAACTTTATTGTTTATACTCTTTACCTCACTATGGCATGGAATAACTTTGGTTCATTTATTTTCTCAGCTGTTCTTGTTAGGAGATGATATACAAACCCAGTTCTTCATGCTCTGCTGACCTCCCTGACATCCAACTTCAAGTGAAACATATCCTGCTGTTAGGGCTTCTCACTGCCTGGTGAACATCTCTACTTGAGCCTCTGTATAAACTTCAATAAGAACATGCACACTTTGAAGTCTTTTGTTCCCACATAGTTTTCTCTTTGTTCTTTTTTTGAATTTCAAAGACTTTTAATAAATATTTATAGCTATAGATGATGGTTTTTCTTTTCTAGCTATGCCTATAGTTATTTGAGTATTATTTGAGTTATTTGTGTTCTATTTTTTCTTTTTTTTCCATTCAAAAATTTACACTTCCTCTTCTCCTCCCATTCCCCTTCTGCTCCCCTATTCCCCCTCTTCTCTCCCCCTCCCTCCTTAAGAGAGGGCAGGGAACCCTGCTCTGTGGGAAGTCCATGGCCTCCCCCCTACATCCAGGCTTAGGAAGTTTGCATCCAAATAGACTAGGGTCCTAAAAAGCCAGGACATGTAGTAGAAACAAGTCTCAGTGCCTTTATCAATGGCTTTTCATTCAGCCGCCATTGTCATCTACATTCAGAGAAGAGTTGCATAACAAGAGAGTTTAACTGAATAACAGAACACACACACACACACACACACACACACACACACACACACACACACACAATTAGAAATCAATGCTTGTGTGGTGTGGGAAGTCCTGTCTATGTGTTGCTTTTATTGGTTAATGAATAAAGAAACTGGCCTGGTCTGATAGGGCAGAGTAAAACTAGGTGGGGGAAATTAAACTGAAAGAAGGGCAGAGTTAAGAGAGAAGCCAGGGAGCTGCTGCGGATACATATGAGCTAAAACTTTGCTGGTAGGCCATGACCTCATGGTGATGCACAGATTAATGGAGATGGATTAAATTATGATGTAAGTGTTATTCAGTAAGAAATTAGAGCTAATGGCCCAAGCAAGGATTTAAATAATATAGTTTCTGTGTGATTATTTTAGGAGTCTGGGTGGCTGGGAAATGAACAAGTGGCCTCCTACACTTGTGTGATGGATTATTCCAGTGATCCCAGTACTTCTGAGGCTCAGAAAAAAAGCATTAATGTAAATGTGAGGTCAGGTTAGCTGCATGGTAAGATCCTGTGAGGTCAGCCCATGCACAACGTGATCCTGTGAGGTCAGCACATGCTACACAGTGAGACCCTGTGAGATCAGCCTCACTGCACAGCAGGACCTGTGGGGTCAGTCTCACTGAACAGTATGACCCTGTAAGGTCAGCCTGGCTGCAAAATGAGACCGCAGAGAGGAAATGGAACTCACACATATCAGTGATGGGCCTTTGAATTATTGTAGCTGCTCTAGTAAAAGATATTAGACAGCTCCTCAAAATTTGAACATAGAGTTACAATATGAAAGGGAAATTATGCATCTGAGCACATAGCTACAACAGTTGTGTGATTCCATCAAATGGTATTGTTTTATTCCTTATGCAAGTACTATTTATTTATTTATTTATTTATTTATTTTCTCTTATACCTTACATCCGAACCACAGTTTCCCTCCCTCATCTCCTCACAGACCCTCCTCTACTTTCCCTCTCCCCTAGATCCACTCCTCTGTTTCCCTAAAATGAGCAGAACCCTACCAGGAATATCAACTGAACATGGCACAAGTTACAGTAAGACTAGGCACAAATCCTCATGTCAAGGTTAGATGAGACAACCCAATAAGAGGAAAGAATCAGAGACAGCCAGGCTCCCACTGTTAGGAGTCCCAGAAGAACACCAAACTGCATACCGTAATGTAGAAACAGAGGATCTACTTCAGAGCAATCTGGGATCTGTGATTGCTGCTTCAGTCTTTATGAGTCCTTCTAGCCCTTCCACACTTTATCTTATCCCTCCTGTTTCCATCCCTATAGGCCCCAAGTAAACTTGAAAATATTCTTTTTTTCCCTTCCCAATGAGATCTATGGATCCTTCCTTGAGACCTCCTTGTTACTCAGCCTCTTTGGGTCTTTGGATTTCACATGATTATACTTAACAGCTAATATCCAATTATAAGTGAGTACATACCATGCTTGTCTTTCTGGATCTGTATTGCCTTATTAAGCATGACTTTTTTTCTAGTTCCTTCTATTTGCATGCAAATTTCATGATATTTTTAACAGCTGAGTAATACTCCATTGTATAGATAGACCACATTTCATTCTTTGGTTAAGGGACATCTAGGTTATTTCCAGTTTCTCACTATTATTAATAAATCTGCTATTAACGAAGTTGAACAACTGTCCTTATGGTAGGATAAAGCATCTTTTGTGTATATGCCCAAGAGGCTCAAGAGTGTAATAGCTAGGTCTTGAGGAAGAATGATTCCCAGTCTTATGAGGAACCACCATATTGATGTCCATAGAAGCTTTAAAAGTTTTCACTGATGGTCAAGATGGGGAAGGACACAGATGGAGAGCAAGAAAAAAGATATCTTGATTGAGAGCACCATTATGGGGCTAGCAAAAAACTGGCTCTAGAGAAATTCTCAGGAATCCACAAGGATGACCTCAGATAAGACCCTAAACAATTGTGGAAAGGGTGTTTGAACTGGCCTTGCCCTTGTAATCTCATTGCCATCATAGAGCACTTCCAAAGCAGTGGGTTCATCTTCTGGGACTGATGAGATTCATTGAAGCCACTTGTGTGGAGTGGCCTTATTGCCTGAAGTCCACTTTTTCACCATTTCCCTAACAAATGGTGAATGTAGTCTATAAGCTACTTTGCTTGTTTAGTTTATTTTTGATTGCTCATATGAATTGGTTCCCATGTATATTCTTTGACTACCTTAGGGTACTTGGTGCCAGATGGTCTTTCCAAAGAAATTACCAGATAGGCAATTAAAACTCTGGGTAAGTCATCCTGGATTCTGGCAAGTACTGATCAGACTACATCCTGTCCTTGTACCTTCTATCCCTGCGCATCAGTTTCAATAAATTCTTCAATCTTTTCAAATCTTTTTACTACTACCTTTTGTAAAGTCTGAATCTCCTGTCCAGTGCTCTGTTCTAATGCCCACTGGGGACCCAAGTATGAAACTTGTTCAGTAAAGACAATGGCTCATCCTCTGCCATAATTTTGATGGCATGTATATTACCTCCCTGTAGACATACCCTATCTGTTAATCTAGCATAAGTTTTTAATAGATTCTGATTATTAAATTCAGCAGCATGAATTCTTTCAGATAATGTCTCAGCACCCTTCGACACTGACTGGATTTTGTCTGTTAAACTAATGGTATCTGTCTTCAGAATTGATTTTCCCAACTAGCTGTTCATTATTAGTTTGTAAAGATGGTATCACTTCTAAAAGTGCCTTATTCTTGGCTCTGTTATCAAACTACCATTAATGAGATGACATGAAAAACAAAAAATATTCCTAAAAATCAAATAAAGTGATGTTGAAGGAAAATCACATAAGCCTTGCACAATACCATCCATAGCATCAGCAAAATAATTATCGAACTCCTGCATAATTATGCGTTCAGTAATTTTTGAAGTCAGATCTTACCTGTCATAAGGCAATTATGGTGAATTGGAATATGTGTAATAATCATTATCAGCCAGTAGATGTTGCAGATATAGCATGTACAAGAGAGGCTAGGAGAGGTGAACAATGTGTGTTGCTTTCTTAGGTACTGAAAAATATGCTTTGTTTAACAATTTAAGAGCAGTTAATAAGGCAATCACAGTGATTCTAAGAGTTGTTGACCAGAATAAAGAGAAAACACAAAGCTTTCTGTCAGTGCAAGTTGTGGACTGTGAGCACCACAGGTGTCATAGGCAGTGGCGTGTGTGCAAGAGTTCTCTTGTAGATGTATCTGTGGAATCAACTACCTGGGGGAGTGAAGTTTATGGATCTCAGATAAGAACCTATAATTACCATTTTACAAAACCAGCATAATTCAAATCACTAATTGAAAACTGATTCTTTTTTTAATTTTATGCGTACAAGTGTTTTATCTACTCATGTGAAAATCCTACTGCAGCACATGCATATCTGGTACATACAGAGGCCAGAAGAGGTTGTTGGATCTCCTGGA